GCACATATTTTCCAATAAATGAATTAATTCAATACCATTGCATAAATAATACATTTCCTAAAATTGAAAATTATACACATTCCCGATAACATTGCCTGAATTTCACATAGACTCATTATTATGCTTCATTTTCGATAATTAATTAACGAATAATGTACCAACCAAGAAAAATCTTTCCCACCCGTAATCGCTGTCCTTTTCAGGATTAAAATCCACAGATTTCACACCTTGAATGCCGCTGTTCTCTACTGCAACCAGAGATGCCAGATCTTTACATTTTCAGTCGAGTGAAAACGTATTATAGGCCAATAGAACTATGGTTTCACCCACCAAAAAATTCTAGACTTCTATTCAGTGTGTTCCAAAATAGCATTCTAACCTCTCGTATGCGTTAAAGATACAGACCCTAAAGAATTCTATCGAAAATGGGTTTTTATCTACTGTCTTCTAAAGGACGATGTAGAATTCAACGATACTTCGATAGTCGGGTAATTGATTGCGGCCCCACAAACAAATGACTCATTTATTTAGAGATGGATTGAACTCAACGCAATGTTGCAAAAAATGCACAGCCTTTAACATAATGGCCCAGCGACAACATTTTTGAAAAGCCTGAACCTCAAGCTGAAAAATGTTGTTTGGTACAGACAAAATGAACCTTACTTGAGAAAAGCGTTTTGTGTTTCAGTACAGTTTTGGAAATGGTTACGCCATTTTAACACGCTTTTATTAGCTTTGCCTGTATGTATGTATCTAACAGAATCTTTGAGCTTACTTTTCCAGGAGTTTGATTAATCTGGAACTTCGCACACGTATGAAGGACCGATGACTATACAATAATTTGATAACAGCTTTCCATTCTAGTAAAATTCAGTAAAAAGCAGATATGTGGTGACGAGCCCTACTCTTTTCCCCCGCATCTCGTTACACGCCAGTAGCATGCTGGATCTCTTTCTGAATACTCACCATGTCCCTTAAAGCACTGCTGTCCTGTCCCCCTGGGTAACTCAGACCACGGTGTTGTGGAGGCTACGTTTCGGTCAGAACCCGCTGTGACAGCAGAAACTAGTACAGGCCGCAAAACTTGGCATTACGGACATGCCCACTGGGAGGGGCTCAGAGACTTCTTCTCTATCTTTCCTTGGAGAGATGTCTGTTTCACTGACGCGGATGCGTTTTTCTATAACCGAAATGATCCACGTCGGAATGGAGGAATACATCCCCCGCACAGTGAAAGTGCCTAAACCAGGGTCCAACGGCTGGTTTAACAAATCGTGTGACACTGCTTGCCAGCAGAAGATCAAGGCACACAGAACCTTCTTACAAAATCCCACTGTAGAGAACAGACAAGCCGATGTCGAGTTCAGAAACAAATATAACGAAGCGGTTCGCAATGCCAAAAACCAGCACGATATAGAAGTTAGGCATAGGGTAATGTCGCAGCGCAATGACAGTCGGTCTTTCTCGACGCTGGCCAAGCAGATTAAAAAGAACTTCTCACACAATAGCCTCCCACCACTTACGTGTCAGGATGGAACGACTGTATTCAACTCAAAGGCCAAGGCGGAAGTGCTAGCCAAAATCTTTGCTGCCAATTCCACCATGGACGTCTCCCTCAAAGCCCAAGTGCCGTCAATTCAAAGGGTTCGCTACACTATGCGGGAGGTAACATTCAAGCATAAGACCGTAAGACAAATGCTCTTGTCGCTCGACGTCAACAAAGCGTCTGGTCCGGACTTGATTCCTGTCATTGTACTGATATCTTAGGAATTCGGCACCTACCCAGAAAACTGGAAATGTGCTCATATCCAACTCATCCCAAAAAAGAATCTAAGACCGACCCTTAGAACTACATGCCTATAGCTCTGCTTTCTGTTATAAGTAAGGTGATGGAGAGATGCATAAATCACGAGCTTCTGGACTACCTCGAACGTCACAGCTCGATTGGCGACAGGCAGTATGGTTTCCGGCACCAACGATCCACAGGGGACCTCCTAGCTTACCTCACGCAATTGTGGAGTAAACTCATCCAGCCTTATGGTGAGGCCCATTTCGTTGCTCTTGAGATCACAGAAGCGTGGTACGCTGCCCTCTTAAGCAAACTTCCATGCTATGGCCTCCCAGAAAAACCTTGCAGATGGGTGGCTGACGTTATCTCTGGCCGCAAGATATCCGTCGTAATTGACGGGTTCTCCTCTTCATCCCTCAACGTCAACGCGGATGTTCCCCAGGGATCGGTCTTGGCTCCGATACTGTTTCTCTCACATATCAACGACCTCCTTTCCTGCACGATCAACCCAATCCACAACTTCGCTGATGATAGCATTTTACATGCAATGTCTGCGATACGCCTCAGGATATAGTGGACAGTTTTGCTACCTTCTTTTCAACAGTTTTTATCCCGTCTGGTCTACTAGGGTCATCTCCTCCAACAAATATCTCTATCGATATCATTTCTTTAAAAAATATAAGTGAAGAAAACGTAATTAGGGCTTCGAAAAGATTGAAGAACAAAATGACGTCTGGATGTGATGGTATTCCAGGTTTTTTCTTTAAAGATTGCATTCATATACTAGCGAAACCGCTGGCTTCCATATTCAACCTAATTCTAAAATCAGAGACATATCCAAATATCTGGAAGACCCCTAAAATATGTCCTATTCACAAAAGTGGAGATATCTCTGATATTTCCAACTATCGCCAAATAGCAATCCTATGCAATTTCAGCAAGTTGTTTGAGATCATCGCTTATGAAACGGTTTACTGCTCGGCCAGGGGTGCAGTCTGTATTAATCAGCATGGGTTTATGAGAGGCAGATCTACGGTCACCAACTTGGCTCTAATTACTCAGTACATTTCTGAAGTACTGGACGGTCAGGGACAAGTTGATGTCATCTACACAGATATTCAGAAGGCGTTTGATCAAGTTGATCATTATGCACTTCTGGATAAGCTTAAAACAGTGGGTATGTCTGATGCAATGCTGTCGCTCATGAATTCATATTTGAGGGATAGAAGGTTATTTGTCGAATATGGTGGTCATAGGTCGAGTTACTATCGGGCCACGTCTGGGGTACCTCAAGGGTCAAATCTAGGTCCATTATTGTTTTTAATATTTATTAATGACTTGTCTTTTGACCTAAAGTGTTTCCATTTGCTTTTCGCTGCTGACCTTAAAATCTGCACGTCAGTCAATTTCGTCATGGTGTTCACGAAACTGTCTCAGTCTGAATGTTTCGTAATGTAAAGTTATGACTTATACAAGAAAAGTTTACTATTTAATTGATGGTAATTATAACATCAATGGTCAGGTTATAGACAGATGCACCTCTTATAGAGACCTTGGAGTCATTTTTGATACCAAGCTCACGTTTACTGAGCATATACTCAATATCTCGTCGGCTGCCACTCGACTACTTGGTTTCTGTATCAGAAACTGGAAGGGTTTCTCCAATGTTGATACATTAATGACCTTATTTTTTACTTTTGTCAGGAGCAAGTTGGAGTATGCGACTCTGATCTGGTCTCCTATATACCAAAATTCTGTCGGGATCCTTGAGGCCATTCAACGTAAAGCTTTAAAGTATTTTCACCTTATATGCACAGGTTCTTATCCAGAAAGAGGTTGTGACCATAGTTGCCTATTAGAGTTTTTCAATTTGGATTCACTGTCAACAAGACGAAACATATTTGCTTTGTCGTTTTTGTATGGCCTCATTCACAATAAAATTGACCGTCAAAATTTACTTGAAAAAACATGTTTCCGCGTTCCAAGGCCAGGAAGTCGACAACAAACGGCATTCTATTGTCAAGCTGGCCGTACAATTGTTATGACAAAATCGCCAATTAATCTCATGTGCTGCGTCATGAACAGTGTTACTGAATCGTGTGATATTTACAGTGACAGTTGTGCATCGATTATTAACTGCTATAGATCATCCAATCTTATTTAGAATGTGTGATACTATAGATTTACGTCCAAGAACCATGTCTCTTTAATTGTTATTTTTTTCAGCGTTTCCTGTAATTGGGTTTCACCTGTTGGAAATAAATAAATAAATGCAGAAATTCAGAGTGACAAGCCGATCTCTGCCGCTGAACTGGAAAAAAGAAGCCTAGCGACGACATCCTCTCTGACAAGAGACCTGGAGGCTATCACTTGGGGATGCAACAATCTTGTACAGTTCAACGCTTCCAAAACGCAGTACTGTACTTTGACGAATAAAAAGCGTCCTAGCGCTCATCCGGTTTCAATGGATGGCCGAGTTATGCCAAAGAGCCATTCATTTCGGCTGGTCGGGGTCCAGATCACCGAAAACCTGATCTGGCACGCACACATCTCGTCAATAACTGCAGCTGCTGGGAAAAAGCTAGGCTATTTGTTTAGGCCTAAGAAGTTCTTTTCTCCACATGACCTTCTCACTCTATACAAGGCCCAGTTAAGGCTTAGCCTCGAGTATTGCTCACACGTTTGGGGTGTTGCCGCCCCGACTACATTATCCATGCTCGTTGCTGTCCAGAAGAAGGCGGTCCGACTGATCGATGACTCTTCTCCAACAGACAGTCTCGGGACTCTTTCGCACCGGCGGGCCGTCGGCGGTCCAGCTCTTTTCTACCGCTACACCAACGGGCTTTGCTCCTCAGAGCTCTCTTCAATGATGCCGCCGCGCGATGTGCCTGCCAGACAGACCCGCCTGACTTTGGCCTCCCATCCTAACAGTGTCGAGCTTCGTACATCCAGAACTGGGCGATACGACCGCTACTTTGTTCCGAGGGTGTCGAGACTGTGGAACAATCTACAAGAGGAAACTTTTCCCAGTTCTACTAACTTTAGGCAGTTCAAAAATCGTATTAACAAAATTTCTTTGGGATCATCATAGCAGCTGGGATGTTCCGGCATTTAGGCTTCCGCCTGCGCGGCTGCTTCGATATATATGTAAAAAAATGTTAATAAATGGCCACGGATTTTAAATGCCGCTTTACGAATACTGAAACTACAAACCTTTGTAGCTCAGTGGCAGAGCACCGGTCTTGCGAACCAGGGGTCGTGAGTTCAATCCTCACAGGAGGCAGATTGTGGTATACCCTTTTTTTTATTGTGTTAATAACTTAAATTTTATTATAATTTTATTTTGGTGTCATTAATTATGATTGATTGTTCGACCATCTAGTGCTGTAATATAAACTCTTTGTGATTAAAAATTATTCCCTACTTCTTAGTTCGGTTAGCGTGTACAATGCCGTCATAAATCCAAGAAGAAATACTTCCCTGCCTTACTGGTAGTTACCGTTTATCTAGCAGCGTTGCTCATGCACCGCCACCAGTACGAGCAGAGCAATCAAGCAGACCATTACGCTGGGCGGTGAGCTTAGATAGCAGGAGGAGAGGCGTATCGGAAACATTTCTCTAGTATTTTAACCTACAATTAGTGAAACATGGCTGCCATCAAATAATTGCGATATGCCTTCACGCACCCTCCTAAAGGCCCCTATCCTCTAATCTTGTACCCCTTAAAATGCATAAAAATTTTAACTTAAACTGGAAGTGGCAGTTAGAATTACCTCATTTTGAAACTTCCTGTGAGTACTTTATAACTCTGGAACAAAAATCACCATCTTTTAAAATGGCGAAGCATCACATTACCCCCCATTCTATTTAAAAAAAATGTAGCAAAGCAGCGTCCAGCCGCAATCTCGAAATTTACTGCTACTTTCACGCAGGGGGATCTTTTAGAAGAGCACTGTATCTGATTTGATTTGGCCAGACCTGGGGGGACTATTGAGCATGGACTAACTGTATGGGCCTGTCTGGCTGATTTGACCCATGTTTTTGCTATACGATTAGCTCAGAGGGACTGACTTGTGCCAAACATGGTCCTTTATTTATTTATTTATTTATTTATTTATACATTATTGCCCAACAGAACTATTCCAATTAAAGGACAATATCATGGTAACTTTACTTATAATTCATACATGTAATGTATACCTAAAACTAATTTAAAAAAAAGAACTAGCTATTATAATAGTACCTGAAATTCGACACGATCTTACCGATACAATCAAAATTAATGTCAGAACTGTCTGCTATGGAATTATAATTGTTGCATTTAGAATGTAGCGGAGAATAAAATAATACATTTGTACGGGAGGTACTGCAGTAGAAAGTTAGAGTTCTTCTCGTATTTAACCGTGGAATATAGAAATTTAACATCTGGAGAAGTTCTGGTGCATCCACACTGTCGAGCAAAAGCTTATGAAGGAATGATGCCAGCAGTGGAACGTCTTAACTGTAGAGACTCTAGTTCAAAACGAAGCAGCAGAACAAATTGAGAGACCCCCCTTTCTGGATGTGTGCCATCGATTTATAAACACAGAATTTAAGAAATTTCCTCTGCACATTTTCTAAGATGCTTATATAATACGCATAGAAAGGGTTCCATATCAAACAGGCATACTCAAGTTTTGGTCGCACCAGTGAAATAAAAAGAGCTTTTAGTGCCGCTTCGTTGGAAAAAGATCGGCAGTTGCGCATTATGAAACCCAGAATCCGTGTCGCTTCGGAAGTGACGCGTGCTACATGGACAGAAAAGTCCAATCTACAGGAAAATGTTACACCAAGATCTTTAGTGTCTGTTGTTCTCTCCAAAACCGCATTATTTATGGAGTAATCAAACATAATCGGGTTCATTTTACGACAATATGAACATACTTTACATTTGGAAATATTTAAGAAGAGAATATTATTGTCGCACCACTGTCTGATGGTACGCAGATCGTCCTGAAGGGAAATACAGCTCTCCAAATTTGTAATTTTGGTGTAGATTTTCAGATCATCAGCAAATAGTAGACATTCACACTTTAGTGAAGCGACTAGGTTATTTATGAAGAATAAAAACAGCAAGGGACCTAGGTTTGAACCTTGCGGTACTCCAGGGGGAACAGCATAATTTACTGAAGAATAACCATTAGAGTAAACATATTGCGTCCTATTAGAAAGATATGAGCTTAAAAGACCGACTAACGATTCACTAAGGCCGAAATAATCCACAAGAAGATGATGGTTTAATTTATCAAAAGCCGTGCTGAAATCCATGTAAATAACATCGACTTGTTGTTTCTTGTCTAACGATTCTGCTATATACTGCGTAATTGTCATTAAATTTGACGTAGTGGATCTACCTTTGATGAAACCATGTTGTGATGGAGTAATTAGGCTTTTAACGTTCTCGAAGATAAAAGAGTAAATGGCCAATTCAAAAGCCTTTGCAAAGTTGTTCAAAATGCTTATAGCTCTATAGTTGAGTACATCAGATTTATCACCATCTTTCAGGAACGGACACACCTTAGCTATCTTCCAAACATCAGGAAAAATTCCACTCTTTAATATAGCATTGAAAATTATCAGCATCGGATTGACGAAAACATGAGCACAATCTTTAATAATAAAACTAGGTATTTGATCTCTACCAGACGTAAGTTTATTTTGAAGCTTAGAGGGAGACTTCAGTACATCAGCTTCCGTTAATTCCTCTAGATAAATACATGGTGTTGAAGTGACACTATCTAAAGAAGAGGGAATATTCCGAGGAGTAACATACACACTCTTAAAATAGTCGGCAAATGCATCAATAACACCTTGTGTATGTAGGTTCAGTATTTGGGGACAAGTTAGACCTACTAGATAGCTGTATGGTAAATAGGATACTTATGAACTGATCAAAGTATTTGCCTGGGAAGTGCAGAGAGATGCCACCTTTTATAGGGATTAGTGGTATTTTTTTTGTGAAATGACCAGTATAACTGCCCCTTCCATTCCCTATCCAATTTGATATTGTCCAATCTAGGTACATATTTTGTCAAATAAGAGACTTCGCTGTCTGGCTTTGAATCATAACTCTAATTTATGCTTACGATCGCAAAGACGGAGCTAAACTACCAAAGCCTAAGATTAGTAGAATTGGGAGAACGTTTTCAGGTAGATCATCCCATAATGTCAACACTCTAGGAACCAAAGAGCGGTCGTACTGTCCAGTTCTAGACTCACACTTGGATAAGGCTTGAAAGAGAGGCATAATCCTAGCGGGTCTGTTTTGAAGGTATCATGAACATAAGCTCCGAAGAGCAAAGCCTGTTGGTATATCGACAGAAGAAACCCAGGTCACTGACCGCACTGATCAGCGTCAAATATTGACTTCTCAGAATTCCTTCCCTGTACCACAAAATGTAGCGCCATCTGCATTTCAGCCGAAGCATTCAGCAGATAAAATAAAAAGTAACCTACAGTTGACAGTCTGATATTGAATTTAGAGCAATGAACAGCTTGCTCACGGCTATTGATCTTCAAACCGAAGCGCCATCTACTTTGACACCACAGAACGTCTGACAAGGTCCGAAGCCAAAAAGAAGGGTCGAATCAAAGTCTTTGGCATTCAAGAACTGAATCGGCCGAAATAGGACTACTTGCTCTCGAATCGGAAAACCAAATTGACATTGGACAGACATGCGGCGACCATTTCACCCAGGAAACAGGTTCTCATCCTGATCACGAATGTGCAAGGATTTTAGAAAACTTTTTATGATATGGTTTTACCTCCCACACCTTCACGCGGAAGAAGTGTTGTAATCGTGGACATTTTCGGAAATGAGATATTGTTTTTTTGGATGTATTATGACGCGTGAGAAGTGCAGAATCAGTCTACTTGACATCATGTTTTGTTGTAACAGTAATAGCCTTTTCAGTTTTGAGACAAAAAAGCGACTATGCGAGTCATTAATCATTTCCAAAATTTAATATGGAATCATAAAGTATTATCTTTGCTTAGATCAAATGTTCGCCTACAAACTATATAAAATTCAAAATTCTTGGTGCCGGTTAAAAAATAATCTTAGGCGCTATGATCATGTAACTGGTCTAATCAAAGATTTAGGATAGTTAAAAATTAATAACCTATCAAGTATTATTTTTGCCATTTATAAAATTTGTTATAACCACTGACTACGTTTATAGAGCAAGCTAGCAAGTTAAGCTACATTTGAAGCATACGGTTTGCTGATAATATTCAGCAAAAACATTTTCAAAATCATTTCTTCCAAGTAAAGTCATTCTTAGAAGTAGAGTTGTACTTTTTTATTTTTGGACAGTGGAATGATTTCATAGTATTTAATAATAATAATAATAATAATATTTATTACCCATTAGACATGTATAGAACATGTTTAGGGTTCGTCAACAACAATTTACAGGATGTATATGCATAAAAAAACAAACAGTAAAATGACAAGCAACAACAAACAATAGCTTAAATTAGATATTTTAAAATAGACACCATAGGCTAACAACAGCAGATAAAATAGATTAGCTTTCCAGCAGTTCAAATTAATAAATTAACAGAAATACAATATAAAAATATAGAAAAACTATAAGTGGATAACAAACAATTCAAAAAAAAGAACATCTAAATATCCACAAAGTCACTGATGGCGTAACAAGTCTTATTAATAAAATAGGTTCTTAACTCAGCTTTAAAATTATTTAAGGAGCTAATTGTCTTAATATAATCAGGCAGCTTATTGAATATCTTTGGTCCTAAAATAGAGGGAGATCTACTACCCAGCTTACATCGAGCAAAGGGTAGATGAATGTCGTGCTGCCTACGAGTATTGAATGTATGTATATTACTATTCAAGGTGAAATTATTTCCGTGAATACCCGTATATATTGCAATTTCATATAGAAACAACGAGGGCTGTGTTAGACTTTTTAATTTCGGGAACAAGTCTCTGCAACTGTATACGAGCCCCTTCCCACTTCAGTTGGCCCAACTATTGAAATCTTAGTTTTTTTCTTATCAAACACAAATAATAAAAATGTAGCAGGGTGTTATAGGTTTAAAATATTAACAATGAATATCTTGATAATAGATAATAGAAAACACCAACTTTATCACTCCCTAATCAAATTTGCAGCATGAAAATAACACATGTTGCAATTACAGCATATCAACCTATTTTCATTTCAATGCAAAATAAGTCTATAACGCATAGGTGGCTGTGAAAAATAAAAGCCTTGACAATTTTTTTATTAATCATAGCTGTCAGAATACGTTTAAAATGGTTTTGGGTAGTTAAGGTTTTCAAAATGGGTAGAGGAAAGGTTATTAGTGGGAAAATTCGGTTACTGATAATCAAATTTTTTAACTCTGGGAAATCAAACTCAGAAATTGCAACTTTGTTAGATTTATCGCGGTACAGTGTGAGAAATATTGTTAGAAGATATAACGCAACTGGTTCAGTTAATATTAAGCCACGATATGTGAAACAAAGGAATATCACAAATGCCGTCCGAAGAGCATTAAGAAGAAAAATCGTGAAAAACAGGCGTGCCAATTATTTACAATTAAGTGCTCTGTGGAGTGGCGCTGTTGGAAGGAGAATTTCGAGGTCCACAACTCATAGAGAGGCCCACAAACTGGGATTCAGCACTTGCAAGGTAAGCTTTCTTATAAAAAAAAGTGAAGTAAAAACCCTAAAGTTGTACAACTTGTTTATAGGCCAAAGAAAAGCCACTATTAACTCCACTGCAAAAGAAAAATCGGCTTAAATGGGCTCAAGAATATAGACAATGGACACCTCAACAATGGTGTGCAATACAATGGAGTGATGAGGCCCGATTCAAAGTTTGTTTTGGTGACAGTCGCAGTAGAGTTAATCACAAAAAAATGAAGCATTCCATGTTGACTGTCTGAAGAGAAAAGTGAAATTTCCAGCATCCATTATGGTCTGGGGCAGTATGTCGTCGAAAGGAGTAGGAAAACTTCATTTTATTGATGGAAATGTGGATACAAACAAATATTTGGCAATTTTGGAAGAATCGCTTTTACCAGTGATGGAAGAATGTTTGACATCCGGCCAAGATTTTGTGTTTCAGTAAGATGGTGCAGCGTGCCATACCTCAAAAAAGGCTATAAAATGGATGGAAGAAAATAATGTACCACTTTTGAAACGGGTTTCTAGCAGTCCAGATCTGTCACCTATTGAAACTTTGTGGCACGAGATGAAAAAGGTTCTACGACAACATCCTGCTCGTACAATCACCGAACTGAGACAAAAGCTTCAAGAAATATGGGATTGTTTTACACCAAATTTTTGCCAAAACTTGGTTAACACTATGCCCCAAAGAATTTCAGCCGTAATAAAAGATAAAGGTGATGTTACCCAATAGTAATCTTTCAATTGTTGCTTTGTTAACTTCGCGCATTTATTCGCACATTGTTTATTTGTTCAGATGTTCTATTAGTTATAGGTCTAAAAGATTTCAAATATGTATTTTTTACGACTAGGGTGTATCTAAAATGTTTTTGAGAAAATAAATTGGTTTAGAAGTAAATAGTTTCGTCATGTTTAGTTTATAAAGGCATATTTTGGTACAACTCTTGAAGTGGGCCAACTGAAGCGGGAAGGGGCTCGTATACTGTCAACACCTGCTATGCACCTTGTTTTTCTCTTTTGACTTCAAAATACCTTTGAAGCATTCACCGAGGAACCCCAGAAACACAATTCATTCGCGACTCGATATGACTGTGATATAACATCAATAACTGGTCGCGTGTAAAAACTGTTCTCAGATTTTTAGATAGGTAGGCCTGCGAGCTGAGCTTCGCAGACAGGTAGTTACAATGTCCTTTAAAATTGAGGCGCTCATCCAGGTGCAGCCCCAAGAATGTTGTGCTCTCACTGATGGGCAGGGCTGAATTATCCAATGTAAGCTGCAGGGGAGGTATTGATGTTAGGGCATTGTGGAATCTGATTGCTGTTGTTTTTTCACAGTTTAGAAGCAGCTGGTTCTCCACGAATCAGCTATTGATGCTATGTAACAAGCTGTTTGGCTTCAACATATTGAAATGGACTTAAAGACTACACTGATATATGTCGCCATCCCTTAACCTGAATTTAAATTCGATTACTATGCACTACGCGTATACCAAAATGTTTCTCAACGTCATGTAAGTACGCTCTTTTTTCTAATTTAACCTAACCTGTCTCTTCCACACGTAGTGATATCACAATGCATAGGATCTTTATCTTGGTCACCCTGTATATCTCACTTATTCAAAATGCGACGTTAGTTCCGAACTTCTTCACTACCCATTGATCACAGCTTCAAAAACTTTTGGACGAGAGTGTATCACCCTTACAGTATATAAAAAGTTACCTTTTGCTGATATCTTATTGCCTCCTGAGAAAAATTTCCGCGAGCTGTTCTGCAACATGTTGCAGACTACAAATTTCTGCCACAAGTACCAGCGACGCATGTTCCAAATTGGTTGTAACCGATATGTACCTTTAGCTTAAAAACGCAGAAAATTTTCTGGAGGCGGATATACGCAATATATGTATATATGCAATATATACTTGGCGGATATAAGCAAGAGCGCGGTTGAGATAGGTTTCATTCCCTATTTGACTATGTATAGCGATGGTAGAGGCTGACGCGTCCTTCCGCAAAGTAACGAGCTCTATACTGGATTCGTCGACAGTGTTTTGTTTAGTGAATATGGACAAATTAGTGCTCTTTGTGGCTGGAATGATCATTGCTTGTGACTATGTAGGTATGTATACTGAATACTAATTAATAATGGGTTAGCGGTCCTCAAACATGTCTTTTTTTTCAAAAATGACTGGGAGGCATCTGAAAAGGCAGCTATTGCACATTAAAACTCATCGCCGTATTACACTGGTAAACAAAATTAAAATAATTTTTTGTGACAAGATGGTTTAGATGGATTATGTAAAACGTACACAAAAAGACGGAAATAGCATTCGATTTTTTTCTATCATCCACGGTTTTCTTGCAATGAGGCAATACACGGGGAGTAAAAGTACGTTTTTGGGATTTTAAAGTTAACTCTCCGCACACATAACAAAATCTGTTCGCACTATTTACACAATTTCTAGGCATTGCCCATAAAGCTAGTCTCGATCGCAATAAACTAAAAATAATACACCGTTTTAAGAAAAATTAACAGTACTCAGAACATCTCAGTATCTTTCAACACAGAAAACGTAACTGACTCGGCTGCTATCACTCTACTAATAAGCGCAATATGCTCTCTAAACATAGAGCTCGCATATAATACAGGAACAGGAATAGATAGGTCTTGACATTATATGTGTGCGTTATCGCATAAACGCCGAGAAATGCAGCAATATGAGATGTTACGTATTGTAATTCATAAAAGTAGATGTTACCAAATATCTGTGGGTGATAGAAAAATTATGTTTTTAGATTTGATTTAAGCGTCTCAAAATACATAAGATTCACCCAAAAATTGTCATGTCACGAATCCTGTGTTTATCAGTGTTGTCAAATAGGAAAATGCCATTCTATCAAAATGATAAAAATGACTGAAGTAGTTTCTCCAACCCGTGTTCAGGCCCAAAAGAACTTTTATAGCTAGTGTTTAAGTGATACTCAGTAAAAGCTATCGAATTTGATAACACTCATCTGCAATACTAAGCTAAGATGGTCACGCGTACGATATGTATGAGTTTGAAGACCGCTCAAATTTGCTCAAAACTTGCCATGTTATTTTTCGTCCCTGATTTAAAGTCCTTAAGAGCCAAAAGCTCTAAAAGCCGATCGTCAGGCTTAAAACCCGTATCTCTTTAGCGTATTGGGCATTTACTAATCTTCCAAAAAGTCTCTTATTATCAGACTTTGTTATGGCATGCCTGTCATTCTGCAGTTTGATTAAAATATATGCAGTCAAGAGAAATCTTCCTCGTATGGGACTTTGGAAACTAACCATATAAAACCTAGGTTTGATCGCGTCTTTAAGGCTCAATAAAAGAATTTCTTGACAAACACTAATACAGCCGGCGGATGCTTCTTAACAAAAATATTCCACCTATTTATTAGTGTCATTTTACTCGAATTCATTGTTAATGTCTTTGCTTATATCAACGGAAATTTAATGATAGCCTGTATTGTCCCTACTGCCACATTGATTATGTTAACGTAGACAAAGCTGAGCCCGTGGCGTCTTCCATTGACTTGACTGTTGCTTCGTTTCTCGGTCATAACCGTAGCATCAAGTGTCATCACCAATGACGATCTTTGACAGAAAGTTTTGATTAGATTCAAGCTGTTGTTTCAAAGCACGACATGTTTCAACTCGGTGTACTTTTTGGTTGTCAGCCCGAGGAACCAACTTGGCAACAACCCTCGAACAAGCTCTCGAATTTTTTCAACAATCTCGTCGATTCGGTCAGTTGATGGACGTCCAGAGCGAGGTTTGTCATCAATCGACATGTCGCCATTTTTAAATCGAGCAAACCACTTGAGTTTTTCCCATAGCATCACCTTTGTAAGCTATTTTCAACATTAACACAGCTTCAGCGGCGTTTTTGCCAATTAGAAAAAAAATCACAGCTGCACGTTGCTCACTGAAGCTTACCATCGTAAAAAACTGTAACTGGAACTATACAGGAACGAAACAAGCCAGATCGCAACTCAGGTGGCGCTGAACTGGTAATGAGTTGCGCTGTACGCCTCTAGGGGCAGAAATGTGTACTACACAAACTCCGCCCACTGCAATGCTATTCCGGTTATTTTTAAGTACCTCCTCGTATTTATACGCTTTCAATCTTGGTAGTTCCACCACCTAGACATATTACACACATAGATTTCCCCGTGGATGTGACTTTAGAATGATAGAGAAATATTTTCAACGTACTCAACTCTGGATAGACGTGCATCGCCGCCCAACTGCTTTGTATGTATCATAATAGGTAACATAGTGTTTGGTCTGGCGAATATCAAGGTTAGTAATAGCAGATGACCGGTACTGTGCTGGTTAGGAATGAGAGTTCTATATCGCAACGTTGTCAGATAGATACGTACTGTGGACTAATTGTATAGACATGTTTGTAACTTACTTTTGTAGCAGGGGGTCTAATTTGTTTTGGATATAATCTTGTGTGAAAAGTCATGAAACCAATTAAAAAAAACGAAATCCTGGGTTTAATTGCAGCAAAAAGTAACACCTCAAGCACTTAAAGCGATTTTTACAAACAATAGAAATTATGTATTTCTGGGGCTTTGAGACTATAAAGTGTTCTCCAAATTTAATTTCAACTTATGCTAAACGTCTTCTGAATGCTCATGTTGAACTGACAGCATTACGAAGAAAGTATCTATAGTCTTCCTAACTATTTTGATGCCACATTTTGCGTTATATTTTTCCAGTTGCTGTGGAAGAAGATTGTACAGATTTCCAAGGCAAAACTGTAGAGCATGGAGTAATGTATGTACCTGGTCCTGCTGTGTGTACCATGTGCGTTTGCTACCATAGTGAGCCAATGTGGTGTCAAGCCATATACTGTGATCCACCCTACGTAAGTACCGTTTACACACAGACTAATTCAAAAAAACAAAGACAGTATTTCTAGAGAAGAAAATACAACAAAGAATGTTAATGAAAGGTTGTTATAAATGTAACACCCAAAATGTCCCGTTAATGCAATGATAGCAAATACTATGTTAGCGGCTTTGACAGGGGTAGAATTATTGCCTATCGAGATGTTGGTTTGTCCTATCGCGAAATTGGCGGCCGTGTTAATTGTAATGCAATGACTGTAATGTGTGTTTGTCGTGTGTGGATAGAAGAAGATAGAGGAACACGAAGAAGGCCGACTGGTCCGCTGAGACGCACCGCAGAGCGTCAAGATAGGTGCTTCAGGCAACCAGCATTACGAGACCGTTTTGTTACTACGCGTCAGATCGCTGACCAATGGTTTGCTTACTATCGCCGCATTCGAGCCTTTGGAATTTTTTCCTACCGTCCTCTTACTGCAAATGACTGCCATCAACGTTTGAACTGAAGCAGAGAACGGCAACATTGAGAGGCAGAATGGCATAATGTCTTCTTCAGCGATGAATCGCGATTCTGTCTAGCTACGCACGATGGTAGTAGAAGGGTAAGACGCCGCCGTGGAGACTGTTGGAGTAACGGCTTAGGGGGCTATTGCCTAACTGTAAAGTTTCAGCTATAAAGGTCAAAGCTCCACCTGCAATTCGGACCCCTGTACCCCACTTTGCCAAATTACAGTACCGAGCCAAGCTTACCAATAGAATAATAGTAATAATAATAATAATAATAATAATAATAATAATAATAATAATAATAATAATAATAATAATAATAATAATAATAATAATAATAATAATAATAATAATAATAATAATAATAAAGTGCAAAATTGAAAATGTGGAGTGCTACCCTAGGGGTTTTTTTCAAATCAATCTTAAATACAAAATTGTATCTATATCATGAACATGTCTAAGGGAAAACCCAATAATAAAGATAAACATAAGTATCAATGATAGTCATAATAACTATTCTGTAAGGTGTACCAAGTGCTTAAGAGAAAGGAACTAACAATAAAAAAAGGTGTACTTAGTGCCTAAGAGAAAGGAACTAACAAAAAAAAATGTATTGAGTTTCAGCTCATCCATTTAGCTACGATTAGTTTCTCAATGAAACGTAGAATTAAAAGTCTTTTGTTGCTGGTGCAGCTATCAACATCCTATCAGAAAATCATAATATATTTTTGGAGGTAACGAAAAAGTATTTTGTATCAACAATTAGTAGAACAAGAATGAAAGAGATACAAGTAGAAAAGTACTGGGCGTAAACAGAGGATCCTTCACACTTCAGACAGATACAAATTCTTTAGCTTTTTCTTAAAGTTCAATAAAGAGAAGTCATAAAAATCATTTGGGAGACGATTGTATAGTTTGGCTGCATTATATGAAAAGCTGCGTTTGAAGGTTGATGTTGAGTGAAATTCTATCTAAAAGGTATTCCGGCTTTTTGTTCACGAGAACTTTGTGGATTAGTGATAGGAAATGCAATTTTCTCAATCTATCTAAACTTGGGATGTTGTGGTGTTTGAATATATGGCTCATGTGATTATACTTTCTTATACCAAAAGAGAATCGCAGACACGAATTTTGTACTCACTGTAATTTCAAACAATCATTTTTTAAAAGAGCCGGGCCATATATGCTGTCACAGTAAGATAAGCGAGAAATTATAAGGGCATCACATAACTTTATTTTCAAGCTACTATTTAAAACACGACGCTGTGGATACAATTGCTTAAGCATAGGAAGAAATTTATTGTCATGGACACCAAATCGCAAATCTGCATCAAACTACAATCCCAAATTTTTGCTCTCACCCACTACAGGTAATGGTATGCTATTAATGTTCAGATTACACGAACGCTCAGAAATCATACGTTTTTGTTTAGAACCAAACAGAATTGCCTTTGACTTGTTGGCATTAATCTAGGATTTCGTGGCAAAACACATACTTTACTCAAAAGCTACCTCACAGATAGGAATCAATGTGTGAAAGTTAATAATTCCATCAGCGACTTGCACCATGTAACATACGGTATCCCACAAGGTACAGTCTTAGGACCTATCCTGTTCAACCTATATGTAAATGATCCTTTTAACCTACACACACACGGTGAAATTATCGTGTTCGCAGATGATACTGCTGTTTTTTATAGCGAACAATCTTGGAATATCTTAAAGACTCTTATTGGGGAGGATTTCAGAGTCATTATAAGCTTCTTCGATAATAAAATATTAACAATCAATTATGAAAAAACATTATATCTGACTTTTTCATGTGATGATAGGAACAGTCCCACATTCACTAACATACATATCAAATTACCACCCATAGATGAAGTAGTAGTCCTAAAGCCAGCAAATCATATAAAACACCTAGGAATCATAATAAACAGCCACCTAAAATGGGACAAACAAATAGAAAGCTTAACGAAGAGATTAAGATGTCTTATACCAAAATTTAAATTTTTAAGGGAAATTCTTTCTGATAAAGACTTATGCACCATATACAAAACGTTAGTACAACCGTTGTTAACTTATGGAATTTTGGCATGGGGACCGGTGTTGAATAAATACTACAGGAAACTAGAAATAACTCAGAAATGGATTCTTAAAATCATTTTACACAAAACTATCACCTATCCAACCGATATGATATATAAGGTATCCAAGATATGTGATTGTAGGCAACTCTATTTTGAGAGTGTGTTCACATATACTTATTATACTTCGAAGTTGAGTCATTTATTTTAACAGTGAGTAGATCTGATCAAAAGAAATGTTTTTTTCCTTTACCATTTTTCTGGTAAAATTAAAGTAACAAAGTTATAGCCCTTTGGAAGTTTGAGTACCGCCCTGTCTCAATAATAATATTATGTGCTCGTGTTTGGCAACAATGGATATAATCCGCCTTATCGGTTCATCGCATCGGGAACAAAAAAGCGAAAGAATTTGGAATGATGTTTTTACAATTATTTTATTCAGTTGTATACAGTCAGTGTCAGTCGGTAACGCGTGAGTGAATAGTGGTATCTGTTGCGTGGGTCAACAGAAATCAAAAATGACACATGTTTACGAAAATGCTGAACTTGTGGACATGATTCTTATTTACGCGGTATCACGGATTTATGCGGATCGGTTTCCCAATCGAGTGCAACCAACCCCTCGTGCCTTTGTTAATGTAGTACAAAGGGCTCGTGAATCAGGTGACTTAAGACCTCACAGGGGACGGCATGCCGGTGCTCCAAGGCCGCACGATCAAATACAGGTCCGCACTGAAATACTTGTCGGGAGGATACTTTATAGAACAAGGTAACATTTTTTTTTTAATTTTTTTGTACATAATATTTACACACATATTTTGGTTTATCTTCCTTCTACAATCATTATCTGAAAATTAATGACTCAACTTCAAAGTCACCCTGTATTACAAAACACAAGCATTTATTACATTTCCTCCCACATGACCATCACACCAGATCCAAAGATCATTCAGTGCGCATACCAAAGCCTAAAAAGACCATAGGTCAGAGGAGTTTCACTTTCCTATGACCAAAAATATATAACTTAATCCCCCTCAGATAAAAGATATTAAAAATACAAAGGTTATGAAAAAGCATCTAAGACTGTGGATTTTGGTCCAGCATAGGCTCAAGATTCATCAAGCGATTGAAAAATGTATAAATCAACCTGATTTGAATTCTTACCTCCTGAATTATTGCATTTTATTACTTATTTTTACCAATTTTTGTTCTTGCCTATTCACCTAATATAGTATTTTGTTTCAATATTGTCTATCCCGATTGCGTCTACGTCCCGATTTTGCGTCTCCGTCCCGATTGTGTCTTTTTAAAAATTTTACCTGGACTTGTCTAATAAATTTTATATATATATATATTATTTTTTTAGTCTTAAGTTATTTATACATGAGCTCATGCCCAAGCACAAGTTTCTGCGAAACTTTTTTGGGTCCATTCGTTTATTGTATAATATTGTCTTTCATCTACTACTGCTATACTTTTTCTTTTTGCAATAAACTTTATTATTATTATAATTTAATGCTTAGATTATGTGCAATTGATATATTGTATTACATATTAGTATCGTCGTTAATCAAAGAATAGGAGTTCAAAATGTGATCAATCTAAAAACTGAAGTACAATTGTGAATAATCCGCATAGTGATGTATTTTACCAGTTTTTACGTAGTTATGAAAGTCTGAAATATATAAAGAAAAAAGTAAAGGGCCTAATATGGACCCTTGTGGTACACCCAATGTAAGCATTCTTTTGTCAGAGGATGAAGAGTTTACCGATACGTATTGGTACCGACTAGTTAAGTAGTCCCTTATTAAATTTACCGCATTATCTGCAAATCCAAAGTACTTCAGCTTCATGCACAATATATTATGGTCTAGGAAGTCCAACAGAATTAAACGCATAACATTACCTTTGTCAAATGATTTGTAGAAGCCATCAACTATACATGCCAGTGCAGTTGTCGTGTTGTGTTGGGCTCGAAATCCAGAGTGGATTGGTGGTATAATTTTGTAGCTCATAACAAATTTCAAGATTTTCTGCCTTATGAGCATTTCCAATAATTTGGAGGGTATTATTAAAATACTGATTTGTCTCAGATCTTTAATATCTTCTACTACAGATACCGATACCTTAGGAATTGGGATGATTTTTGAAATCTTCCACACTTCTGGAAAAACAGAGTTTAATAAACAAAAGTTAATATTATAGGCAATGTGGTACAGTAGATATAGCATTTTCTTGGAAATACCATCATGTCCTGTTGCAACAGATTTAATACTTCTTATGTTTTTTGGAATCAATGCAGCATCTACTGAAGTGAAAGAAAACAAGTTGTTATTGCGAGGTTCTTGGTATGTATTTAACAAATCGAATTGAGACTGAGTTTGGGTAGACTTGAAATGTAAGCATTGATTGTATCTGGATTAGAA